TGCTCTTCGGACATACGCCTAAGTAAGGCATACAGCGATCTTATTACACTTGTCTGTCTTATTTGGACAGGGGAGGTATTGTCAATCGCAACACCGGTAATGTACCTGTCCGATTGCAACCATCTATCACTAATTATCTGAGTATTCACTTCATTATTACTGCGTATGCAGTAGGCTAAAATATGACGACAAGGTATTCGGTTTTCAATGTAAAAAGCACATGAACAATTTAGTGGATTACTGCAGACTGTATAAGTGCCTGTACCATCAACAGCCGTTGACAAGTCCACGGACATTACAACCTCAGTGATAGGAGTGCGCAAATGCCGCTTCAGTAATTGACATGCAGCTGGTGTAAGTCTTTCCCGAAGACGACATATTACTGGCTCCCGACCGATTATTGTTTTATTACGGCAATCACAATAATACTTCTGCATTCGCGCATCGATCCAATATCCAGTGCGAAGAAGCACACTGAATATTGATCTCAACACGGGTATTCTTCTGTTCAGCTTATGCAATTTAAGAATCCGATGAGTTATCTCAACGAAATTCGTATTACTTTGTCCCAAGAGCATCGCTGCGGGTCGAAAAGCATTTGACCACTTGTGCTTTTTAGGCAACAAGTGATCTCTCACATATCGGTAAAATTTTCCGTCTGATGCTTCAATTAATGGAAGATAACTATGGAAACTACAAAAGACTGTAATGCATATTTTGATTTACCTTTCGACACTTCTAGTGAACATCAGACGGAAGAAAAGTTGTACAGTTTCTGCTCGTAGCCTCTACAATGACGATTAATGGCTTCATGTTAAGCAACGAAAAACTTACCCTCCTTAACACATTACGAATTATGTGTACGCAACACAAAATGTGGTGGGAATCGGGATACACCTGCATAATGGCAGCAGCTATTGCAGGTGAATCATCTGTTACAATGCCTACCACCTCTCGGTTGCTAGTTGATCGGCGGAAGAACGACAGGAAATGAGCAATTAAACTAGATGTTTCGGAACTAATGAATGCAATACAAACAGGTATTGCCATGAAATTCATATCAAGTGCTACAACCTGATACAAATATAAATTTTCCTTATTGGTTTTGTAGGTCCCATCAAAACCAACAACATCAAAAAATCGACTTGATAAACTCATTTGATCTGCTGTTGTGAAGAAGAAATACAACAGACAGTTATCTCCATCTAAGTGGTATTCACAGAGGCCACCAAGCGACATGATGTGATCTTTCAATTGGGAGTAATCACCTAACGTTGACAATTTAGATAAGCATATTGCTTACCAGGAAGGTTGGCTTGTGAGAACACTTTGTGGCGCATATTAAAAACATCTTGAGGATCTATACACTTTCTATAAGATTGGTAAACAAAGTGTATAATATTGAATGCTGCTGTCCCAGATATCAAAAGTGGTCTCACTGTTTCGAATTCCACCTCCGTTAACCTGCGCATCCAATAATTACTTTGGTACCTTAGGGAATTGCACTCGTGATTGTGATGCACATTCCCACGAACAACAGTCCAGTAACCTTCAATGAACTTACAAAAGATGAAGGAAGGACATTGAGTGTTTACGAAAGTCCTTTATGAAAAATTATAATAACACTGATCAAATTACCTCGTTCGTCTACTCGGCTGTGAGGAACCGCTAGATGTTCTACGGCCATTTCTCCAACATACGAATTTAATATACGACTTCCGATCTCTATGTAAATGAGAACCTCTCACCACATAATGGCTGTACGTTCTAATGGCGCTATTCAACTCTTCAAGAGATTGGAACGCTACGAGATACAATGTGCTCAAGAATAGGTTATCGGTTTCTGTGACAACGTGAGGAACGACGGAGCTCGTACTTTGCATGTTATTACCGTCCATAATTGTAAGAAAATGTGCTCTGTCGTCAAATCCTCATATTTTATATCGATTTTAAGAAATAAACGACCAATTATAAGGAACTCAAAACTAGTTATTTGATTGGACGAGACAGAATGAAAATTATTGGAAGATGGGGATGAAAACTTTTTTCAAAAGGGATGAAAAAAATTTCACTCAAAAAAAAAATACAAAAATGGCAGTGCAGTAAATGCATACTCGCAACACGTGACCCAACCATCTCAGTCGATGAAGATTTACCATCATTCCCTAATGCCTTGTGTCTAACCTCACTATTACTTACCCGATGATGCGAGCAATATTTCTAAGGCATCTGTGGTCAAATGCTAGTAGCTTACGAATATCTTCTACCATTAGTAGCGACGTTGCGCTGCCGTAATTTAAAACAGAACGAACTGCCGTGCAGTATACTCGTTTCTTAATTGATAGACGGATATCTCGCCTTAGCCATAGGTGACGTAAGTTGGCAAAAGCTGAACGAGATTTTCAAATCGGTGTTGAGATTTCGTCAGACAGCAACCCATTAGGGCTGGTCAGAATTCCAAGATAAGTGAAGTTGTCAACGCGTTTGACTGCCTCTTTTCCTATCCTTAGTTCAGGTGTTGACGCAGACCAGTCCTGCATTTAGAGGGAGAGAAGCGCATTCTAAACGTTCTGGCATTGTTGCTTAGTGCTACTAGAAGACTTTGCATGTTGCCAGTCTTCACCAAACAAGACTATGTCATCTGCGTATTCTAAGTCGATAAGTAGACCTCCTGGAAGGAGACCAATGCCCGAGAATTCAGTCGACGAGAGCGTTATTTCCATCAGTATGTCTATGATAATGTTAAACAAAAGTGTAGAAAGTGGACAGCCTTGACGAACAACACTTGAGGTAACCGTTTGCCATAAGCTCTGATTAGACTAGTAGTGTTCGAGTACAGAGCCCTCACAAGATTCATGTACTTCTGAGGTACGTCTTTCAATGACAGACACTGCCAAGAACATCTCGGTCTACCGTGTCAAATGCTATTTTTAATTCAGGAAAAACTAACATTGCCGCACACCGATAAGCATGTGTGTGTTCTAAAACCTGACGAATGATGAATATGTGGTCGATGCAGCCACGATCAGGTCTGAAGCCAGCGCGATTTTCTCGTGTTTGCAGTTCACGAGTCTTAGTTATACGTCCGATAATTGTTGATGCTAGTATTTTAGATTCTATGTTAGTCAAACTAATCCCTCTGTGGTTATCACATGATGGTTTTGACCCTCTCTTACATATTGGGACGATAAGTGATTGTGGCCATTCAGATGGAATTACGTCCAACTCCCAGATTATAGTCAAAATATTAGTCAACCTAATATCTAAAATTGGACCACTATACTTAAAAACTACTGGAGCTGATCCATTTGAACCAGCTGCTCTTCCTGGTTTCAGATTAGCTATAGCCTTTTGGACTTCAGCTACAGTTGTGGGACCTACTTCAATGTTCCATTCAGGCCGTTTGGGAATGGTGGGTAGTTGTAGAGTAGCTGAAGGCCAGCTGAACTGCTGCTTAAAATGTTCCGCCCATCGTTCTAAACGTCTGGACTGAGAGCAGTTAAGTGTCGTCTTTTTTATGAGATAGTCTCACTTACACTTGATCATGTTATTCATTTCAATAGTTTGATGAGAGAAAAATGAATCATAGGTGTTTCAACGTGTCAAGACAGTTAAGTATAATACCGGAGTTGATAATATATCGATGTCGATGGTTTTTTGTACTATGTGTTGTGATAAGTAGCTACAAGAAACAAGTTTTTAAGTGAATCCATCTGAGTGTGTATATTTTCAGTCAGCTCTTCGATTTCTGTGTATAATTAGAACTAACACATTAAACTACCGAAGGAAAATGTAACAAAGTGAGAGTACTTCTATGAATTTCAATAACGAGGAATAGCAATTTATTATTTAACCGAAGAATGTTCATACAATTCAACTAACGAAGTGAGATATTCTTCAATTTGAGGTTGTGAAGATTGTTTAAATTCATTGAAATTATGAACTAGCTTCGAGACTTCATTCTTGGATGTCTAATGAGAAGCCGTAACCAATGGAGTACAGCCGTGTCGGGTGTGAAGCATTTATTCACCAAAGACAATGGAAGATGATCGCGCGACATCATGAATTAGTTGATGTTAGACATTAACACCATTGGATACTGGTTCATTGGTCTAGAGTTTGAGCGTTCACTCAAGACCGAATGTTGTGGTTTGAATTAAAATTACTTTGTACCTGCCTTTCTGCGAATTAATTCTTTCTCCCTGTAGTATATCCTTGTATGCCATCTTTATTTATACATATTTCTACCATTAAATTCACTGCTTCTATGATTTCTGTGTACATATTGTCGCGCTAATTAGGTATGATAACTTAGAGGAATGCATATATATACCTGGTCCTACATTATAGATGGTTGACTGAATTCGGACTATTTATTCAGAACAAAACCAATGAATTGATTATTTATTTATTTATTTATTTGAACACATAAATATTGGTACAAGAGGGCGCCAATATATATGTGCCACACAAAACAATGAGAATTCGAAGAGAAAGAAAAAAAGGTAGGGGGTGTGAAAAAAAGAGAACAATAACAAAGAGGTTGGTGTAAGGTAGTATAGTAATAATAATAGTAATAATGAGGGAACGGAAAGGTACAATCAGAAGAAATCTTTCAGTTAAGGGAGACACAACCACTTTTTATGAAGAAAGTAAAAGAAGGTTACAGCAGGATCGCCAGTGGCTTCTATTCTGAGCCATATCTGATAACGTCTCTAGCCACCGTGTAGCGCCATCTCTCGGACCCCAACCAGGGAGTCGTGAAGGACCGACAGAAGCCAGTTCTTTGCAGCTTTCTTTTATACAACGACACCATGTCATGCACTGACCACCTCTCCGCTTCTTCCAACCATTCCCAGAGTCGGCAAATAATGCACGACGTGGAATTCTCTGGGACGACATTTGTAGAACATGTAGTAATTGTAGTAGTAGTAGTAGTACCGTTTTATTCCGTGCTTCTACAATTATCATTTTAATTTTATCTTTTTCAAATTTCACAGGTAAATTGGCTCCTTTATGGCCTTTCATTGGAATTATAGCTGAATTGGTGGTACTTGGTATTATAATATTGATTTATGAACGTACTCAAGCTAAACGTCGTCGTGAAGAAGAACGGACTACGTTGTTAAAACAAAATCCAACTGGTGATCGATGTTAAACAAATCTGGTAATTATTGCATACATATGTAGTTCAGTGATATGCTTTAATTAATACACAAATTTACAACTGTTGTTGAAAGCACAATTTTATTTGAAGGACACTGGTTCGTCTGTCAGCTTTTGCTTAATATCCTAAACGGAAATAGATGGAATCGAGTTTAAAACAATATTCTAATGATTAAAAGTACTTTTAAACACGGTCGCCACCAGGACTTTGGTTTAAAGCTATTATTTAGTCTATTTGTCGTACTGAGTATATTAAACCACATATGACGTGATAGTGTATACTTGTGGACTATCCCATGTTTTTTGTCTAGAGTACTTCCTAGAGTTCTTCAGATGATTAAATTAACTCATTATATCATCTAATTTAAATAATGAGAATTTGGCTTAGGTAAATGATTTTGTTGAAAAGAAAATTCTCCTGGACTTCTACTGCAAAGCCGTGACCAATGTAGTTTAACCATATTGTCTATGAAACAGTTCTTTACCTACTAACGCGATTGAAGTTTGGTTGAGCTTAAACATGTAAACCTGTTAGATGCCAACTCAGTGATCCAAATGTTTGACAATCTCCGCAAGACCTGATAGTTGTGGACTCAATCCACAATCTTATCTTGGATGTGTACTGTTAAGGTGTCTTATACTTATACTAACCAACTTCCCAATACTTCCTTACTAATAACAATCCATGATGTTAAGGTATAAAATCCAATAGTCTCCTCATAAATCCGTTTAGTAATGATATACTATTAATTTGTTTATATTGATGACGAATAATTTCGTTATTCTTACACGCTTTTTTTGTTTCAGCTAATTCCTTGTGATTGAATCACATCTGTGTTTGTTCACCTCGTTCCCTATCTTGTGGTTTTCAGCGTCAGTTACAGTCTCATCTCAGTACTGTTTTCTTTTAAAAACAACATTTATTTGTTTGTTTGCTTGCTTTTTATTTCTCTTCCTTATCAAGTGGCATATGTTTGTACGTGTGTCTGTGTGTGTGTGTGTGTGTATGCAAGTATGCACGTGCTCATGTTTGCATCTATGCTATTTTCGGCATTGACCCTTAGGTATTCTCACATTCAGATTGGCAAGAGTATTAGCTCATTTGTACGCCGACTGCTGTTATTATTATTATTATTATTATTATTATTAACATGATAAAGGATATGAATATTTGCTTTTATTTTCACATGTCACTTAATTTCTTATTCTGATTGACACTTCAAGAAAGAAAAGAAGACCTTGTAGTCTTACTCTATGCGTACTGTTTATCCTTATTATGATTACAATTATTATTATCGTCGTTTTCTTTTTTTTTGTGCTGTATTACTTATTTCTGTGTTTCCAGCAAAACCTCTTCACTAACTAATTTATCTAATATATTTACTTGCCTATAACAAGAAAAGGAAAGATTGTTTATTCGTGTGTGTGTGCGTGTGTTGAATACAGATGAACATTTGAATTCTACACATATTCATCTTCTCTATACCATGTAGTGTAATGAAGATATACAACTTATGTAATCGTTGTTTGTTTTTTTCTTTAATTATTTAGTTATATCATTATTTTACCGTTAAATGTATAATTTTAATTTGTATCTGATTTGTTCATTATATTCATTCATTGTGACTGAGTTGTTTGTTTGTTTGTTTTTCTGTACTCCTTTAGAACAGCTTTATCTTACAATATAAAGATAAATAAATTATATATTTAGTTAATGTTTCTTTTTCTATATATATATATATATATATATATATATATATATATATTTGTTTGCATATCGTTTGTTGTTGAGCGCTTCTTTGAAATAGACATTTCTCAATATTTATTGGGAAATGCATTTTTGTAGCTGCTACTTTAATTTCAGTGGTCAGGTTTGATTGTTATGATGACCTAATCGGGGTTATGTTAGCGGATACATTTGTTTATATATATTCTACCATGTTAAATAGCTAGGTTGGAAAGCAGTAAGATTCATGGTTCGAGGGAGTTGTACCGTCAATCTTATAGGGGGGTTTCACGGTAGTACAGTGTTTCTTTGGAGACTTTACCTTGCCATGATGGAAGGTGGAGGAGGTAGAAAAGGTCGGCTTTAAACACAGCATACTTTACTCCTCGGATTTTTATCTTTGATGGTTAGATCGTGTGTAACTAACTTCAAGCAGTTGTTGTATGGACTCTAGGGTCACGCTCCCAGACCCAATAGACCACTGCTAATTCAGTTTCTTTTATTATTATGTCTTTATTCAATATTATATTTTTGGTACAATATAGAATTCTTAGCACAAAGCATTTCAAAAAGGTTCCTTTTCTTATTTCTTGATCAATCATGACGATAAATATTGAGTGATCGCAGTTTAAGAATCGACATTTGAATAATGCTCATTTTTTTCCAATGTATATTGCCTGCCAGCCATCACGATATCTCTGATTGTACTTCTTTGTAAGTCGGATAGTGAAAGGTCGTAAACTTTTCATAAACACACCTTAATAACTTGTGCGATTAATAAACACAATGATGTGTTCAAACAAGCGAAAACCGATAAGTTGTTGAAATATCTAGATGATAGCAACAGATAGCCCAGATATTCTAACAGGCCGCCAAAACTGGGAGATAGCCTCCAAGAAGAGGTGTATTTTTACTGTATCGGCACAAGAGGAGTGACAACTACACAAACACATCTCTCACCATTCAAAAGCACTGTGTTTATAATTGGATTCCTTCACTTTGTGATTCTCTGTTCTTACTACTAGCCATATTACTCCCAGTCAATCATAATAAACGTAGACCTTTAGGGGGACAAAATAAAATTAACACGATGATTGGAAAAGTATCGAAGTAATATAGCTTGAGAATGAGGAAAGAAAAAGTATGTATGAATGAAGATTGGAACTTCAAATCTAGAAGAAGACAATGAGTGAATATGTCTGCGTTATTATGAACTGTTCTAAGCCATTGTTATATACTTATTTTACAGGTTCATTATAAAAAGTTGACCGTAAATCAAGTTCTCTTGAATATTGCTTAGTTGTGCTATATTTTGTAGTTGTTGTGTTCTTGAACGCATTTTGAAACTAAAGTCAAAGTGAAGAATGAAATGACATAAATATTCAGAGAGAATACACAGTTGTGTTTTCAATACACTATATTGATTTTAGTCATTCATTTTAGTTGGATACTTGACCCTTTCACATTTTAACTACAATAATAAAAGTCTTTATATACAGGGAATAATAGTGTATAAATTTGAGAATATAATCCTCTTTGATTAGTTTTAAAATGGCTAAAAGGTGAGATTATAATATATGGACGAACTTTGAACGACGCCAGACTGTCCTTGAGAGTGTCCACCTGGAATAAATGGGGGTTATAAACCAGTGTGAGGAATTGGAAATATGGTTTACAGTTGGTGATTAAGGTTAGAAACTAGATTTAGGGTTTTCATCACGAATTGACACCACTACAATGCCAAAATGCTATTTAGCTAAATGGATGAGTGAATTTTCGCGCCAAAATTCAAGACCTATTATCTTATACTGATTGGTTCATCCATAAATTATAGTCTCGCCAATTCTCTCGTTGTAAAGTTTGAACCCATGCCAAAATAAGAGATGAGTTGTCACCATTGAGTTACTACTCATTTGTAATTGACTTGATGTTGTTAATCAAGTTGTTTCTGTATTCATCTATCTGAATTTTTGATATATTAATCATATTAAGTTCTTTATTTCAATCCGATATCTCTGTTAAGTATCTCATTTTAAATGCAACAGTTTTGTGAGGTGATAAACATTAAACCATCATAGATAAACACGTATTCATTAACATAAGTAATTTCACCAATGAAAACCTTATTAGAATTTCTAATGTTTTATACAAATAATTATCATGTATATCCTATTTAATAATGGTTAGAATAGTACACATTAAGCTGTTTTATGCAACTAATATTAAGTCTTGTGTGCTATTACTAATGTTTTCGGTGATACAGTGGTCTTGAGTGCTGTTAGAGGTATGAGGGTGGTTATCAATTCCCGGTCGCTCACACCATGAAAAGGTTCTTCTGGAGGTACCTGAAAAGGTGATTGGGTTAGAGGTAGTCTTAATGACCTGAGAGCGTGACTGCAGTGCTCAAGGGACAACTGCTTGAAGTCGGTCACACACGACTTTTTTATGAGTAATTTTTGTGTTAGCTCCGTACTTGTCGAGACCTTACTGCCGGTGACGGATATCCGTGGGATAAGGCGAGGTGTGCATTTTTAGGGTCGACCTTTTTTAACCCTACCCCTCCTTGTGGGAAGACAACACCACTGTCATGCTGGTTGTCTGAAGGAAACACCTTACTGCTGTCAAACCTCTGTACAGTCAGCAATACGACTTCGTCTTTAGACTTTGAGTTTCCTGCTTTTAGTCTTACCACTATTCAACTGACCTGTCTGGCATGGTTGGAACTTGAGGAACGGTTGTTCCAGCCAGTATAGCTCGATTGATTCATCACGATAGGCAATCCCGACCACCACGTCAAAGTAGCAACAACGGTCGGGGTTTTCGGGGATAATTTTTGTTTGATCATTGTATTTTGGAGTTTAAGATATGTATCATTGTTACCTTCATTTTATGTAAACAAATATTTCACATAATTGACAGTAGATGTTAGTACACACAGGTCATATACATTTGTTGTTTCACACGAATGAGAATAACCAGTTCACCACTTTTATAAGCTAAATCAAAATGAATAGTAATTTGCATATATAAATGCATGATTCATAAGTTGGCATAGAAAATACTCATCTTTTTAAAGAAAGAAACAAAGAGTACTGTTAATATGTAAATTTTGTCACTTAGTTAAAGTTTAATATGTTAACTTTGATCTAATTGATTTCTATGTTGTTCAATTTCATATGGTTTTAGATTATCAGCTACTTATTATATTTGTATTGAGTTGTTGGTAGATGTTCATTGGTAATCTTATTATTTTGATGAAGTTTTGTTCTCTGAGCTGGATGATTTGGTCGTGGAGCTTTCATCATTCTTCTGAACAACATCATTAGCACAAACGTGATGCTCCACGATCAAACCATCCATCTCAGAGAACAAAATCATCCACATTAGCTAAAAATCCCCACCATTTCAAAACCTTATTATTTATTTATTTACACACATAAACATTGGTACAATAAGGCATATATATATATATATTCCACACTTCATCATTCGATTTGTTTGAGATCTGGGACACTACCCAGGTGCCGAAACAGAAGCAGTTGGTTTTTGTAAAGGGTCACACCCGTAGCCTTCGACCGAAAGGTTTGATCCACAAGGAAGTGGAGCAACGTAAGGAGATGCAGTCCCATGGTAGATGATGGCCAACAATAGGTTCATACACCAATTGTTCTCTCAGGATTCTGGTGACCATGTGCACTATTGGTTTGGAATGACGGTTTTCCAACTCTCCTAGGTGTAATCTCTATATCCACCAGCCTGGTTAAAGCGCCGGATATTCGTTTTCTTCCTCTCGATTTCGTAAACACTGCGAGAAGGCAGTGAGTAGGACTTGCGTGACTGTGGTTGTATATGCGTGTCTATGTGGGAGAGCTAACTATCACCACCGTCAGCCGTAACAGGGCATTAGGGGGCAATTAGTAATCATTCTCTTTGTGTTTTTTACATCCCTAGAAAATATCTATACTAGGTAATTAATCTCTTTGTTATTGTTGTAAAATGTTACTATTCACTTTGAATGTGGATTTCATTACATTGTTTCCCACTTGTTTCTGTTTTGATAAGAAGCATATATTTCTAAACTTACATTTTTCAGCATACTTTCTACCTTTAATTTGTCGCTGAATTAGGTAGTGTTATCAATGAACTCACCAGATAAGGATTATTGTATTCAGCTTCAAGTCACATTAAATGTAATTGTTAGTTGTGCTACTCGGTTGTTTAAACGTAATTAGATGAAACAGAGTTTGAGCCTGGGACTTAGTGCATCAACTACGTAAACATACTTCGTTGCCTGAGAGCGTATACCTCTAGCTATGAATCAAGCCTCTATTTGTGCAAACCAGATCCTCGGGTTATTAGATCCATATGCTGGTAGTCTGAATTCAGAAATAGCTTTAACTGAACTTAAAATATTGTCGTCAGAATGTGATAGTGAGTTAAGGGCATTTACTGGAGGAGAGTCTATGTCAATAAGTTTGTTTGGAGAATACATTATTTGAAAAATAAACAGATGTGTCAAGTAAAAAGAAAAGCAATATGACAATTACAATAAACTCGAGACTTACCAGATAATTATGGTGGACCAAACAATATATGAACTCAAAAATAGTAATAAAGTTACTGCGTACAAGCAGTAATGTTATAATATATCAGTTATAAACACAATAAAAATTAAGGACGTTACTTAATTCAGCTTGTAGGACAGATATTTACAACTGATTGATCACTGTGCAGTGATGATTATCACACTGCACATTGGTAGACATAATAAGATCAACTGTAAAGGTTTAGACAAATATGATATTGAACACCACTCAGTAACTAGCCAATTATATTTAATAATAGTGTTGGCGTTGACAATTATTTATGCGTGTCGGGTGTGAAGCATTTATTCACCAAAGACAATGGAAGATGATCGCGCGACATCATGAATTAGTTGATGTTAAACATTGACACCATTAGATACTGGTTCATTGGTCTAGAGTTTGAGCGTTCACTCAAGACCGAATGTTGTGGTTTGGATTGACACGTGTAAGATGGTGGATGCGCGTTGTTGTACTGTACTATATCCTTATATGCAATCTTTCTTTCATATATTCTGACAAAACGGTCGTCCAGTGCATTCAGGTTTTCAATGATGGTTTAACATGGGTCGTTTTACGATTTCAATATAACTTTACATTCTACAAGCGATTCATTCTTATGAAGCTATATTTACGTTTAAGCACTTTAAGCATAAGACATGCCAATTGTTCTCCTTATTTATATGCAAAGAAACATAAATAAAATGAACGATTTAATGTCGTAGTATCTTCAGAGATTTTAAAGGCCTCCTACTATCGCACTCCCACTTTCCAAAATCAGGTTACTTTCAGTCACCTTCAGCAAATCTAGTCATTAATATAACAACTCTAGTCATGATTACTATCCAACAAATCAATATATCGACGTGTATGGACATGTTTAAGACACACATAGAATGTATGTCATGCCTGATAACTTGAATTTATTATTGTTCTTACTCACAGATGGCATTGTAAACAAAAGAAAACCTTGTACAACAGTGTACAAGTCAACAGACAATTTAAATAATAAAAGTACTCTACTTTAAACCATACTCATTTTTGTGTAATGGCTATTGATCCTGGGCCTGAAATTGATAAAGATAGAGTGGTATTAAAATCTACCAATTAGATAATTTTCAACCATCTAACTCTGTTCTATTTTTTGTTTTGGTTCCAGAGTAATATCATTAACTCTCATACGAAAAGAAAAAGATAGCATATTGCATACATTGCAGAAGTAATTAAAATAATAAGTAATTAAAATAATAATAATAATTGAAATAATTAAAATAATAATTTAATCATTGAATTCATAAGTCAATCGAAACTAGACCATCATGGAAGATCTAGAAGCACTGGACAGCCGTTTCTTCCTAGTATGGGATTCCTCAGCAGTGCGCATCCAGCATCCCACCCTGCGAGATTCGAACTCAAGACCTATAAGTTATTTCCTGGAGTTCTATTGAGAAGCCGTGACCAGGGGAGTTCAACTGGACCTGTTATGAGATAGTAACTCAATTAAGACAATGGTGGATTTTGGCGCAATTTCGTGGATTGGTTGAAGTTAGACATTAACACCGTTTGATGCCGGCTCAGTGGTCTAAAGGTTAAGCGTTCACGTGCGAGACTGACAGGTCCTGGATTCTAATCTCGCCGGGCTGGATGCTGGGTGCGTACTGGTGAGGAGTCCCATACTAAGATGAAAAGGCCGTCCCGAGCTTCCAGGTTTTTCATGGTGATCTAGCTTAAAATTACTCACGAATTCAATGATTAAATTAATTAAAATAACTCTCTTATCCTATGTCTAGTGACTTCTCAGAGTGGTTGTGCAATACGATCAAATTCCATATATTTTTTCTCTTATATGATGTAAGTTTATAATTACCTTGGCAACGTGTAATTCTATCTTTTTTTAACCCAGTAATCGATAATATTTTGTTGTCAATCGTTTAAAACATTAAAACACAAGTATACTGACTATTATTTATTGTACAGCAATAAAATATAATTAATGATTTAATCGATGGCATTAATTGTTCCATTTCACTTAGAAGTTTCATCAACTTTTGTATTTTGGTCGCAGGTGAATTCCCTATACTGATACAAAAAGAAACTCACTCATCTTTTTTTGTGGAGTTTCCTTCTTTGAGTTAAATGGTCCGATCCTAAAGGTTTTATTGCTCTTTTAAACGGTTCACCGAACGAAACTCCACCAAAAATCATCCATCTGAACTAAAAATTATCTTCATCACTCATCTTTTATCTGCTCACGTTAGTTTTGGTTCAGGGGAGTTACTAGTTTTGTCAATGAACAGTTTTACTGTGCAACAGTCTTCTTTATTTCAGTGTATGGCAATGATATAATGCCTGTAAAATTTAATGAATACATACGTAGGTTACAAGTAATTGGTTATAAATTTTTAGGAAACATTACTTGTTTATTAAGAACTAAAACTGAGGTTAGGCTTACTGTTTTAGTGAAAAATGCATAGTCGAATAGGTAGCCTAAAAATTCCCGATCGAAGCTGCTACCTTGACGCGGTGGTCGGGCTTGCCTATCGTAATGACCCAACCGAGCTATATTGGCTGGAACATGTTTCCTGTAGGTTCTACCATGCCAGGTAGGTCGATTGGAGAGCGGTAGGACTAAAAGCAGCAACTCAAGGTCTGATGGCAAAGTCTTACTGCTGACTGTAGAGGGGTGTGACAGCAGTAAGTTGTTTCCCTCAGACAATCAGCATCTGCAGCGATGCTGCCTTCCCACAAGAAGGGGTGGGGTTAGAAAAGGTCAACCCTAAAAATTTCACACCTCACCTTACCTCACGGATTTCCTTCTCCGGCGGTAAGGCCCTTTGAAAAACGGAGCTAACACATTGAAAACCTTCCACGAAAAGGCCGTGCGCGACCGGCCTCAAGCAGTTGTCCCTTGGGCTCTGCGGTCACGCTCCCAGGTCGTTAAGACCAACACTAATCCAATTTCCTTTTCACGTTCCTCAAGAAATACCCTTCCACGGTGTGGGCAGCCGGGAAGTGATATCAGCCCTAATACGCGTAACAGCACACGAGACCAAGTTGGTCACATTCAAATCCTTTCTATACCTCCTAATACCTCACTTATCTCCATGACTGAGCCTAAAAATCATTATCGATTGAATGCCTAGTTACTGGTTAACACAACATACAATCCTCTCTGAAATGAGAATATTTTTTAACGAAAATTAGGGGTAGTCAAACTAAGAGATAGATTTATCCCATGTGGAATTTCTTAGTAGGATCTACAAAACAATTATTGCCTATATTTAATGATATTCTATGATATGACCGGAAATCTTCACTTATTTTGTTTCGTTTTCCTGGATACCTGATATCATTTTCATACCTCTTTTTCTTATATTGTATATTATATCATTCTGTAATGTTGCAAGTTATTACAACATAGACCAGTTCACATTTGCCATGGGCGCCATGTTGCATTTAATTGTACTACTTTCAAATAGATCACTGTTGTATTGTGATATTGTGAGAGATCGTAACTTGAACAGTAGAACACTGAACACTTATCATCGATTAACTGATGTTATCTATCTATCTCCTACTCACCACATTAATTATTAATAAATAGTAATCATTGTTACCGGAGTTTGATTACGACTTGACGTGTTTGTCAGTCGGTCAGTCAGTAACAACGTAGAACTTCGTACGTACGTACATCAGTTCAAGTTGCCATACCACATTAGAATACAGATGGAATTGTCAATTTCAATCCCATAGTGGTTGACGTGTTTGTGCATGTGTGTGTGTGTGTGCGTGTATGTATTGACACGTTTCCTATCAAGGAATGGAACTTTTTTTATATTTGATCACATTGAATGGTCTCATATCTAAAATGTTTATATTTTATCGTTTTGATTCTAGTCAAATTTTTGCATTATATCATCATGACAAAGAAGAAACTATCCGAAAAATACAAACAGAAACTATCAAAACATCCTATACCTAAATCAAATAATCCACAAGGAATAACTGTTGTTAGTGAATTTGTTCGACAATTTGTTCGACGTCATGTTAATGAAAATCAACGTAATCAATCTGATTTATATTGGCGTCCAGGTTCTAATATTAGTCATAATATAAATTTATTACCACAATCAACAAAAATTCATCGATTAAAACAGAAACAAACGTCTATGACAAATGATAACCCTATCAAAATAAATCATTCTAATATAAAGAAAAAATCTTTCAATAAATCAATAATCAATCAAAAACCATCGATTATATCAATGAATTTATCTAATCAATTACATAATTTATGGAATGGTTATTTTCAATCTGTTATGTCTATTCTACCTACTAAATTAAATGATCATAATTGTAGTAATTTTAATTTAACAAAAAATTTAGATACAATATTACGTTTGAATTTAATTGGTGCTCAACTTAAAATTCTACGTTCCACATCATGTCGAGTAAGTAGAAGTTGTTGTTGTTGTTGATTGCGTCATGATTTGATTTCTTATCATAGGCTGACATCAGTTAATGATCTATGAAGACTAGAAAGGCTTTTTTCTGATGAAGTTTTGTTCTTTGAGATGGTTGATTTGGTTGTAGAGATTTCATTGTTCTTCTGAACAACAACATCATCATCACAAACTTCAGGTAGAAGTGAAGTGTACACAAACAAACAATCGGAGATACAATCAAAACAAAGTAAACAATGACAAGTGTTGAAGGTCAACAAGAACCAATCAATATCGAGGTGTACAGGACAAGCTGTGAATCATATGTGGAGAAATTTTAACACTACACTTCTAGCTGAAGTTTGTAGTGATGTTGTCGTTCAGAAGAATGGTGAAAGCTCCACAACCAAACCATCCAGCTTAGAGAACAAAATTCCATCAAAATCATCCACCTGAGCAACAAATCTTCTTCACCATCTCAGAAAGATGTTTCATCAGTCATTTATTGAAAATGTATACCCAAGCAGCAATATGTTTCCATCCAAGTTGTAATATCCTACAATGGCTAAAGAGGGGGGTGTTGACAGGATGGGGATAGGAAAGAAGTCGAGATGAGGATGTCAATGATAGTTGCAGATTAAATTTTAAAATATGTGCTCGAAGTGAACTGATGTAATCAGTGAATGAAGAAGTATAAATTAATACTAAGTTAAAGATTAAAATAGTGCATTGATTATTTAGAAACATATCAGCTATGTGTATTTAGGATCTCTTACACGATTACCTGCATAATTGTTTAGGTTTGTGGCAAACACTATGGTATTCATCCTCTCTGTCGGAAGATCATCCATTATCAGTTTTCAGTAATCATCGCAAGTTACAGCATCTGTTATTAAAATATTGAGAAGCCCATCTAGATCATCGACAATTTAGAATATAAACAGTCTATAAATGTATCTTATTGAATATATTTTAAATGATGGATAACGATGTAACTGAGGATGCATCTTTCATCCTGTTTAGAACTCATCAGTCTAACATACTTACATCCCAGTGATGATTTTCACACTGAGATTAGAACTCATTGCCCATCTCTAATCCGTTTAATCATAATTTTCTCTTCTTGATTAATAAAATATTTGTTAGATTAAATGGTGAAACTATGCTGTACTGACGAACTGATCAGATTTAAGATAGCACCTACAGTTTTTGCACATAGTGATAGTTATCTTGTGTGTTATTCAAAGCCAATTAAAAAATATTTGCATTTAATTCCAAGGATGCTGATAAGTTGATAAACATATTTGTTATACAACCAATGCAGTGTGATGCATAAGCTAAATTATAAGAAAAACCGACTAGCATTACAAGTAGATCTGAAACGTTGTAGATACTTGTTAAACGCACTTGATATGATTCAGAGTATACTCAAGGGTGTTTATATGAA